GGCGTTTATGTGCAACTGGATCTGTTGACACATCAATAAAAGTGCGTAACTTGTGTTTTTGTGCATTTCATTGCTTTGGAATAGTGTTTTAGATTGCATATTGAGGTTATTAATTTTGCTTATAGAAATTAATAAGTTTTACAAGGCAAATTAAATGTACCTGGGACAAGTGTTAGTTTTAAAATCAAGGGATTTAAAAAACTTGTTTATAAAGTTTTTTTTCTTTAGTTTTTAATGTTTTTATAGTATTAATTTTGTTTTAATTTGTTCTACAAAGTATTATTTTAGCTTATTATTTATCCAGATTATTGACATCAGTCGCATGCTAGCCAAAGCTGCTCAATCACAGTCAGAACGTCAAGCTGAAAGAGAGCTAGATGAAGGTGGTGGCATGAAAAATCATCCAGTTATTCGTACAATGTATGATCATGACTTGGTAAGTTCTTTTAATTTTTATAAACAAGTTAACATGTAACTTATATAGCAAAAAAAAGAAGCATAATATAACTTTGCATTGTTTTATTAAATAAACTTGCTTATTGTTTAAAAAAGGCTTATATAAAATAGTGTTTACTTTTACTAAAAGCACCATTGTTACTTGTACAACAAAGTTACTTGTTACTTTACAACTTTTTACTTTGTTTATTTTAAGCTTGTGATTTTTTATTTTTTTTTTTATTTATGTCGCTCTAGCTGTCCAAAAATAGTAAAAATTACAAGTAGGAATAAATATTTTGATCAATATTTTTCTCAGGCAATCAATACTATAAAATTCCATCCAACATCTGCGGTGTTAGTATCTGGTGGTGAAGATAGGAAAGTCAACCTTTTTGATTATACTAAATCTACTGTGAAAAAGGCATATAAAAGTATTCAAGTATGTTTAAAGTTTTTTAATTTTACTTTTTAAATTTTATACTAAAAATTAGAAAGATTTAACATTTTAAATTAGGTTAGTAGTATTGTTATGACTATTAAATAATTTGCCTGTCGATTAAATCCACTATTTTCTATTGTCGACTAACTATAAATATATTTTCTCTAATAGACTCTAATAGACAATTAAATCAATTAGTGAAATTCATTTTAGTTCATTTAAATATAAGAAATAATACATTTTTGTAATCAACTAAATCGACTAAAAGTCAATTTAGTCGAAGTATGGGAATAATTTATTTTTTTGAAATAAATAGTAATAAAAATAATAAAGTAATTTATATTTGCTTTCTATTTTTTAATATAATATTTAAATAATATTAAAGCAAAACAATATGAGAAAAGGGCTGTTTTGACATCGAGATTTGTTTTGACATCGAAATCTATTCCCAGACCACAATGATTTAGAGATCATTTCAACTGCTTGCTGTATATCAAAAAGTCATTACAATCATATTTACATCCAGATTTTGGAGTTTAACAATTTAGATTTGCTCCAGGACCCAAGCCAGCTTGGAGCGGCCCTGTATAAAGCTATTTATAAAAATCATAAGTATTTAAGAAGAAGAAAAAAAAAAAGAAATACATAATCAAAAATTTGTTTAGGAATAAATAATGCTAACATGCTTTGAATTAAATAGAATTTTGAGAAAGTAAACAAAAAACTAGGTAATAGTTATAATAGTACATACTATTGTTGTTAAATGAACAAACAAAAATTAAAGATTAAAAAGTTAAATTAAATGAAATATAAAGATTTTATATTAATATATGTAAAGATAGGATTTTCACTTGATTAAATCAACTTGTAGGATTTGTAGTCAATTTGTAGGAAGTCTATAGTCAATTAAATTAACAATTTGATTTTTCAGTTGACTAATTTCAACTTTCAACTAGTCAATTTAGTTGAAGTCGATAACAACACTAAATGTTAGATAAGGTTTTTAGTTTTATATGACAAAAAAAAATAATTATTTCATATTGATAGATAAAAATTTGAAATAGTTTTAAAATCAACTATATACAGTTAATATTTTTTATGGTTTTGACTACTATCATTCTGACTTAAGTTTGTGTTAGATGTGTTATTAACAGAACCTAAATTAATAAACTAGTGATATAGAAAACTTTCATACAGATGTTTTATAGAAATCAAATATCTGCGTATGTTTAGGAAATAATTGAAATTTTTTTTTAGTTATCTATTCACAACAGACAATTCTTTGTGCTTAGTTTATAGAATGATTTTTGTGTTCAAAAATAATTCTAAGTTTATCAGTTCCATTTTTTGCTGTAAAAAATTTATTAAAAACTTAGTTTTCATATAATTGTTGTTTTCAACTTTTGGTTATTTATAAGATCATAGCTAATTTATTACTTTCCATATATACTCATATACTGCTACATACTCATATAAGTCAAGAAATTATATGAAAATTAATTGATTACATTTTTTACAATATTTTAAAATTTTATTCAATTTTCTTACTTCAACTTACATGCGAGTTTCCGAAAAATGACAAAAAAAAAAGTGACTCAAAATAGTTGACTTGTACATATATAAGTATATACAAAAATGAGTCTGCAAACAATTTGCATTAAATTTGAAAAAATACTTTATTATTGATGTGTTTTTATAAAAACTTTCATGGGGTAGGTTAAATATTTCTTTTTTTAGTCAAATATAAAAGTATTTAATTTGGTATAATATAGGGGAAATAAAGCACATCAGAAGGAGTTAGGGTTAAAGTTCCTTTCTTGCATACCTTTTTTAATTATTACATAAAGGATCGTCAATAAATAACACAACATAAATTATGCAACAATTTCACTAATAAACAAAACAAAAAAGATAAGTTTTCACCTTCAAACTGAAACGCACTCTTGTCAAACCCCATTGCGTCCGCGAACTTGCATTTCTAGGAAATAGGCAAAATAGGGTATATAGGGATTTGCGTAGCGGTGTGCACATACACCGAATGATTTTTAGAGAGAGCATGCAGCAGTGTGTGCAAACAACGACTAAGGGTTTGGGGTAGACAGGTTCTCTTTTAATTGAAGAAGTCGTTTTTTTACATTTTCGGCCCTTAAGGACAGCTCGGAATAAAGGTTTGACAAAAGAGCCTACCTGCAGAACTTTGAGTTGGGTAAAATATCAACGAAAATTAAATTAACAAAAATTGCCGCCTAAAAGAGCTTGAATTCTTTTTTTTAAAATAAATTAAGTTAATTGTAATTTATAGACAATCCCTAAGAGCATTTATTTTAATATAATATATATTAAGGGCATACATTGTAATAAAATACTTTGAGTAATAAAAATATTTTAAAAAATCAAAAAGTGTATATTTTTGCACTAAATTTTGAATTTTAAAAGGATCCTATTATTATTATACCATGTTCAGCTTTTTTTTTCCGCATAGCAGCCTTGTTCCTCAAGATTCGAGTTTTGAGATCTTAGGGTTGACAGAATTGTAACAATTTAAAAATCATTTCACTCGGAGAAAAAAAAATTAACTTTTTTTTGAAATTAAAGTGATTCAAAATTATTTCGTGGTGTTTTAAAGGAAGTGGAAGCTGTACGAGAAATATCTATTCATCCTTGTGGTGATTATCTGCTTGTAGCAACAGATCATCCTACAGGTTAGTATTTTTTACTTAACGTTTGTTAACATTAAGATTTTTTTAGTTTAAAAATTCTTATAAACTATTAGTATATAAATATAATTTTGAATATCTTTGCGTATACCGTAAAAACCCCTAATTCCGGATGTAACCTAATTCCGAATGGTTTTAGAAAAAAGTTTCATAACTTCCTTAATATAATGAATTTATGAAAATTATATAAACATTGATCAAGGCAAGGTCAAAATTATTTGTAGAAAAGGGACAAAAAACCCTAAAAAGCTAGCACCATCGAATGAAAAGCAAATGACGACAATCTTGACTTGTTGTGATGCATTCGGTAATTATTTGCCTCATCAAATAATTTATAAAGGCAAACATGTTATGAAAGACTGGTGCAAAGGCGGTGCCCAGAATGTTTACTATAACAGTAGTAGTTCAGGCTGGATGGAATCCAAATATTTTTTGTTGTGGTTTGATTGCCTCACGCAAACAAACTTTCAGGATTTAAAGTTATAATACTTGATGGCCATGCTTCACATATGAGCTTAGAGTTGAAAAAAAAAAGCTTTAGAAAATTATATTTTACTTTGGTGTTTGCCGGCTCATACCAGCCATTTTTTTACAGCCACTAGATGTTGGCGTTTTTAAAACGGTAAAAGACGCATGGAAGAAAATTGTCGAAAGTTATTTGACTAAAAATCACTTTCAAAGCCTGACTAATTGACATTTTCCGGCCATGCTTAAGGATCTCATCCAAAATGGTGGGTTTAAACCTGAAAATACCTGGAGTGGTTTCAAAAATACTGGTATATTTCCACTCTATTGTTCACAAATTTCTTCTAAAAAAACTTCCATTGACGCTGTGCTTCAAGCTGTCGAAAACAACAATATTGAAAATTTATTTGATTCTTTAACAGTATCTAGTCCATTAGTTATGGAAAATGCTACCAATACACCTAACACGCCATCAAGAATGTCAAATCGTGAATTTTTGCTTAAAAGCTTTGCTACTTTGAATAATGCTGTTCAACAAGTGGGCAAAGATATAAACAAATCAGTATTAAATATGCTTCGAGATCAATTGACACCAACTCTAAATAAAAGAGTTCAAAAAAGTGAGAGAATAAAGCTAATTATAATATGACTTCGGCGGATGCCATAGCTTACGATGAGGCTGAACAAGCATCAAAAAAACAAAAATTAGATGAACAAGCTGCAAAGAAATTTACTAGAGAAGAAAAAGAAGATTTCCACTGCTACTCAAAAATCAAAAAACGTACAGAAAAGAGAAGAAAAAAATAAGTTGAGACTAAGTTGTCTAAAATACCAGGTAAAAAAGGTATAAGGACAAAAAATCAATTAGAAGACCCTCATTTTCCTCAAGCTTCAAATAACATTTTAGTATCTGATGATCTTCTATGTTATTCTTGCGAAATTAATTGGACAAATAACTTAGATAACCAATGGCTTGCGTGTGAGCAGT